ATCTCCTTGATCCGATACGGGCCCCGCGAGCTACGTTATCAACAAAGATTCACTAGAGTTAGCGTATGGAATTCGACCGTCTTCGACGTAATAGTTCAGGTAGAGTTCGAAGTCACGATAGAGTAAAGTAATTCCAAAAGTATAGTCAAATAAAGTTTGTAACTCGCGTATCAACGATTTATATTGTTAAGACTCTGATTTCGCCGATGATGGTTTGGCTAGTCAGTGAATGACACTGTGAAGGATGCGTACCAGACCACAAGAGTACACTACGCAGAGCTCAGAGTTCGGCTAACAGCTACAAAGGTAGAAGTCTCCAAGGTCTCTTCAGTCAACGTCGAGTATGATTCTCCTTGATCCGATACGGGCCCCGCGAGCTACGTTATCAACAAAGATTCACTAGAGTTAGCGTGTGATGTTCGACCGTCTTCAACGTAATAGTTCAGGTAGAGTTCGAAGTCACAATAGAATAAAGTATTTCCAAAAGTATAGTCAAATAAAGTTGTAACTCGCGTATCAACGATTTATATTGTTAAGACTCTGATTTCGCCGATGATGGTTTGGCTAGTCAGTGAATGACACAGTATTTATATCCCTCGCTTATGTCTCGAGGACCCAGTCTACTAATAATACAGAATACACTCGGGGCATGCCCGAGACCCTGAAAAACAACCAAGAACATTGAACTCCTAAGTCCGTAACCCAAACTCCTAAAGCCGCTGAAACCCCTCAACCTATTTATCCACTCTTATGCACGTTTCCCTGTCGATGTTTCTTCTCCATCGGCCGTCTGGTGAATAATCGTCAGCGTCGGCTATTCGGAGGTCTCGGATGGCAAGGCTACCTACTCAGGCCTCTTCCCACATCGCTTTCCCACATAGCAGAGTCCTCTCATGCCCACAGGTACCGCCAATAGGTACTCGGTCGGCTGGCAGCTTGCGCCGATTCGCTCCGAGCGGTCCGATCTTCGATCCGATTGATTCCAGCTATCCCTCATATATCCACCGGTACCAAAACACTCCCCTCCGGCGGTTTGATGCTCCAGGGGTTATTATTGGGGTCGATAACGTGTTTTTTAACTAGGAAAACCGCAACTCCGCATTTGGTCGCATATTGATCGCACCACACCTCGTGGGTGCGAACCGGAGTTGATAGTGGTGTTGCCATTAGTATCAAAGAGTATTGGGGTATCTACTAGCCTTTCTCTCACTCCCGTAAATGCTTGGCATGCCCGTAACAGCTTACCCCCCTTCCAGGGTGTCACGTCTCGGGACATCTTCTGACAGACTATGGTTCCAGTAAACCTGCTCCACATATCACCCGCGGTGTCTGTGGAGGGGAAGGACTTAGCCCCGTGGGGTACCTCTATAGTCTCAGGCGTTGGTCCTTCACGGCCTTGGGGTTCCTTCGATGAAAGTCGCGAACTAGATCAAGTACGTCTTCGTTCATAACGTCCATGACTTGATAAGTACAGTCGCTCATCGAATAGCCCCGCCATTTCACCAGGTATTCCACTAATCCTCTTCTACTCTTCCGGCTTCCCACAATACTTTCCACTTCGTACAAAACCTCTCCCTCCTTATCGACCTCTTCGGGAGTCGGGGGACGTTGTTCGCGGCCTGGGATACTGCTCTGTCGATAACGTTCCAAGAGTTCAATGTGGAACACGTTATGGATCTTGACTTGTGGTGGCAGTTCCAATTCGCAGGCTCGTTTTCCGGCTAGTCGGACAATTTTGAACGGGCCGAGTTTCTTATGATCGAGTTTCTTGGTAGAGCGACGTGTCTTGATATTGGTCGCGTTGAGCATAACCATGTCTCCCACCTTGAAGTTAGGTGGTTCGTCCCTTTTCCGATCATAATATTTCCCCATCTTCTCCCTGGTCTCTATTAAGCGAGCGAGAGCAGAGTCATGAACTCCTCGGATGAAGTGAGCATACAGGTCACTGGTTGGGTTGACCACTTCGGCTTCCGTCGGCCAGTTGGTTCTTGGGTTGTAACCGTAATTGGTATAGAACGGAGATTGGCCCGTGGCGGTGGTAACCGAGTTGTTGTAAGCATACTCCGCCAACGGGAGTAGCTCTGCCCAATCATCTTGCTCGTAGTTGCAGAATGCTCGTAAGTAGTGCTCGAGGGTCTGGTTGACCCGCTCTGTTTGCCCATCGGTCTGGGGGTGGAAAGCGGTACTCATTCTTATTCTCACGTCCAATAATTCCATAAGAGATGCCCAAAAGCTTGAAGTGAATTTGGCGTCTCTGTCGGAAACTATATCAAGAGGCAGCCCATGGAGTCGCCAGATTTGACCGAGGAATATCTTCGCTAAATCCTGCGCGGTTGTTTCTGCTACTAAGGGGATGAAGTGCGACATCTTCGAGAACCTATCGACTACTACCCAAATTTGGTTATATCCCTTTGATTCCGGTAACTGTACGACGAAGTCCATTGATATCGATTGCCAGACAGAATGTGGCGTGGACAGTGGTAGAAGCGCACCGTACTTTTTATGGCGGCTGGGTTTGTTGCGCTGGCACTCATCACATGACCGAACGTAGTCATCAATCCACTCGTTCATTGTTGGCCAATAGAAGTTGCGCGTGATGAGTTCCAACGTCTTGTCTTGTCCAAAGTGTCCTGCCACTTTTGAATCGTGCTCTGCCTGTGCTATCCGGATCTTGATACGGTCGTCTGCCGGAATGTAGAGTCGGTTCTTATAGAAGAGTAGCCCGTCTTTCTCAGCAATATCCTTCAATTCCCCCAGCTTCTCCCCTTGCTCAACTCTCTCTTTCAATCCTACCCATATCGGGTCTCCCGATGCCGCCTGCCTGACATGATCCAGAAAATTCTTGGACCAGTCAATCACCCCCTTGGAGGCAAGCGACACCGCTGATACCACAAACTCTTCCTCCGCCAACTGTCCGGGCTTAAAGAACCTGTCTATCGGCTGTTTCCCAAGCGTGCCTCCCCCTTCAGGACGGTACTCTGGCCGTCGCGATAGTGCATCTGCCTTCCCATTTTTGGTTCCCGGGCGGTAAATAATCTTAAAGTCAAATTCCGCCAAAGACTCAGCCCACCTTGCCTGTCGTCGGTTAAGAACCTTGGTTGTTGAAAAATATTCCAAGTTCTTGTGATCCATATAGACGAGAACCGTTCGGCTAGGTCCTTCGAGGTAGTGACGCCATTGCTTGAAGGCTGACACAATTCCCAACATCTCCTTATCCCAGACGTCGTAGTTGAGTTCCGCTGGGTTAAGTTTTCGAGAATAGAAGGCAACAGGGTGAGTCTTTCCGTCAATAACCTGGGATAGAATTGCGGCGATAGCAAAATCACTTGCGTCCGTTTCCACGATAGTCTGGCGATCTGGAGAGAAGTGTACCAAGATCGGCGCAGACTTAAACAGGGTTTTGAGTTTTTCGAAGGCTGCTTGGGCCGTCATAGACCAGACAAAGTTCTTAGCATCACCCCTGAGACAATCGGTAATGGGTTTACAGACCCCGGAGAAATTGTGGATAAACCTTCTGTAGAAGTTGGCAAAGCCCATGAAGATCTGTACTTCTTTAACACTGCGCGGGGCTTGCCAATTCGTAACAGACATGACCTTATCCAGTGCCATGGTGACGCCTGCTGGGGCAAGGATGTATCCGAGGAACTCGATTTCGGTGAGCTCGAAGAATGATTTCTTCGGGTTGGCGACCAGGTTGTATTCTTGTAGCCTGCTAAGTACTTTGCCAACCAGCTCCCTGTGTTCCTCTCGAGACTTGCTATATATTAGGAAATCATCAAGGTATACTACTACCCCTTGATCCAGAAATTCCCTCAGCGCATCATTCATCATGTTCTGGAAGGTCGCCGGCGCATTTGCCAGCCCAAAAGGCATGACGAGGTACTCAAAATGCCCGTACCGCGTACGAAAGGCTGTCTTCCACTCGTCGCCGTCTTTGATCCTGATGAGGTTGTAACTTTCCTTCAGGTCAATCTTCGAGAAGATAACCGCGCCTGCTACTCGATCTCGCAGCTCGTCCATAAGCGGTAACGGATACCTGTTCTTAATGGACACACGGTTAAGTCCACGGTAGTCAACGCAAAGTCGCAGACTACCGTCCTTCTTCTTCACAAATAGGATTGGGGCTCCTGCTGGGGATTTGCTTGGCCTAATCTTTCCCAATCGCAACATTTTGTCTAGGTACTCCCGAAGCACCTTCAGCTCGACTTCGGATAGGGAGTAAACGGGTCCCCATGGTGGCTGCTTCTCTGGTTCGAGATCTATCGCATGGTCGTAAGATCGATGCGGTGGTAATTTGTCTGCTTCCGATGGTAGGAAGACTTTAAGGAACCCATGGAGCCAAGAGGGAAGAGTTTCGCGGAGGTTGACCGATTCATCTTCCAGAAGACAAATACTACCGATGAATTGGGCCTCCGGATCGTCTAGTACACCCTCGTCCATTTCTATTTGAGGTTCCTTGTCAGTGAAGCATCGACTCTTGCAGTTCTCACCATCGTAGGAAACTTCCCCATTTGACCCTATAACCGGCTTATGTTCTTTTAACCACCAGTTCGGTAGTATTGCATCGATGCCAAGTGGGAGAGGGGCGATCTCGAATGACAACTGTGTTTGATGCCCCCTTGACATTATAATTAATGGTTGTGTAAAGGCGTGTCCCGTGCCCTTCATAACTTCTCCCGTAAATCCAAATACCCGGGCCGGGACGTCTCGTTTCACCTTCGGGACCTCAAAACTATCAACAAAAACAGCAGACAAAACAGGACCAGTTGCACCAGTATCCAACAACACCTTACAAGATAAACATTTTTCCGCAAAACAAAGGAACTGATTAACGATAGGTCGAGGACCATGAATAGGTTCCTCCAAAATTTTCTGTTTTTTCTCCGGTTGGGACGCTCTCCCTTCCTGCCTTTTTCTTTTCATATTTTTTTTATTGTTTTCCGTCAGTGATAACATAGCAATCTGGGGATACTCCTGACCTGACTCATCAGAGTCCCCTTTTAAAAATCCTCATCGAAATCCATCTCAGATTCCGATCCACGTTCTCGCACAAACGCTTGCCCACTGGTATACTCCGCAGCAGCCGTCGCAGCCGGCTTCTTAGCACGGTGCCTCATTCGCTTTCTCTGAGGTTGGGGTTCCGGTGGTTCCATATCGTGGTCGCCATCGTCATCGCGGGTACGCTTTCGGGAGAAAGAGGATGTAACGGCAGCCATGTATTTCGGCTAGGTGATGAACTGGGATGAGGGAAGGAGGTATCATGCGGTGGAATTAGGATTTGTAATGGGGATTTCTGTTATGTTCTTTGGGTTTCTGTTACGCGAAGGTATTAGTCATCGTTGGATTATGGATGGATATATAAGGGGGCGTTGTCTTGTGCTTTTGTCTGTTTTCCTTCTTCTCTTTCTTCCTTACGCAACCTCTGTATTTTATTCCACGAATACTATTCTTTGTTCGCACTACGTCATAGGGCTCCAACCGGTTTATCATACCAGGTAGAGCCACCCATAGTCTATAGTCAAAGTATACCTTTACGTCTACGTCCACGTCTACGTCACTACCTAGGTTGTATTCCTTGGCACCACAGTCTATCGCCTATAGTCCCCGTGATACGTAGGTTGCGTCCTCTATCGCCAACCAATACAACACCATAGCCTACAATGTCGGAACATGTCCATGTCGATTATCAACAACTCAACGATAACCTCCAAAGATTTTTTGAAGCGCATCCACAGGTCGATCATGTTGTCGGAGCTGAAGCTTATGCGCTTCTTCAACAGTGTCAAAATGGTCTTATTCAATATGCAACGGATTTACAGGAGATAGAAGCGGAGGCTGAGAGGGCAAGAAGGATATTTGAACGAGATCTTACTGCTGCCCGAGCTCAACGAACTGCTGTTGAGGTTGTGGCCCCTGACGAAGAACCTATTGGAAACAACGCTCCACCTGTACCTCCAGCGCCACCAGTTACAGGTACCACCTATCGGTCGGAGAAACTCCCAGATCCCGATGTGTTTAGGGGGGATCGTGATCGAGAAAGACTACACTTATTCAAGCAACAAATGAAAATCAAGTTACTGGGAAATATCGATCGCTATCCTACACTACAGTCTAAGTTATCGTACGCATTCAGCAGATTGGAAGGTGCTGCTGCCAATCAGTTTTTACAGTATATGGGAGAAGAAGGTATTGCCTTACCTTCTATGACACGGTTTTATGAGATTCTGGATACAGCTTTTGGAGACCCCGATCGAATGCGTACAGCTAGAAGGAATCTTCGGAACATCAGACAACGCACTCGAACTTTTGCCGATTATTTTGCTGAGTTTCAACGGTATGCTGCTGAGTCGGGTATGGATGAAGTCTCTCGGATTGAGGCTTTGATGGAAGGAATTAATGGGGAACTGGACGAATCGATGATACACCATGAGACTCCTGCAACGGTAGATGGTTGTGCAACACTCTTGCAACGGTTGGATAACCGACGACGGGCGGCGGAGGCTAAGCGAGGTAGTAAAAAACCTTGGACTACTACTGCGACCCCGGCTCCGCGTCCTCCACCAACAAATCCTGTTCCTGCTCCCCGTCCTGCTGCCCCTGCTGCCAACCCACCTACCACTGAGAATCACCCCTCGTTCCGTCCTGGAGGTGATGTACCCATGGACCTGTCTGGAGGACGTCGTCGCCCTACCCCTGCCGAAAGAAACGCCCGATTAGCTGAGGGCCGATGTTTCTATTGCGGAGGTGTCGGGCATATGGTTAGAAATTGCCCCCAAGCGAGGGCAACTGGAAGTCAACCAAGGAGGCCTGTGATGAGAGGAGCGGCGTTGACAGTGGAAGAAAACGATGGAAGCGATAATGAGTCGGCAAAAGATTTGTCCCTGCACTAAGTGGCTTAGCCCAGGGACCGTTTAAGGATTTTTCTAGGATGTGTATTTCCGGTTTTTCGGTATCAGAGGAGGAAATGGACGGAAATCAACTTGTAGTAACTTGTTCGATTTCACAGAATAAAAATTCGTTTATACCTACTTACGCCCTTATTGATACCGGAGCATCAGGATATGCTTTCATTGATGAATCCTTTGCACGCCACAACAATCTTACAATGACCTCCCTTAAAATACCTCGCCATGTAGACGTTATAGACGGAAGGCCTATTAAGTCAGGAAAAATTACCCATATTGTCGATGTCTCGCTAGACATTCATGGTCATCGGGAAACGGCGCCATGTTTTGTAACGAAGTTAGGACACTATCCGATTGTGATGGGGATACCTTGGATGCGACGACATGATGTTACGATTCGACCAAAAGAAAATCTACTTATTTTTGACTCTCGAAGCTGTTGTCAACACTGTTCACTCAGTGGAACTGCAGTTATTGTTCATGGTATCTCGATTCCCTTACCGGAACACCATACAGTCATCGTTTCAGCAACCGAGAAATCCACTATCGATATCGAACAATTAGTACCGAAAGAATTTCACCATCGTCTTCACATGTTCAAAGAATATGATGCTTCAATTCTCCCACCACATCGACCATCCCATGACATCGAGATAGTATTAGAGGAAGGCAAACGACCACCATATGGACCTATATATGGATTATCTCAAATTGAGTTAAAAGCACTACGAGAATATCTTGATGAAAATTTACCCAAAGGATTTATTCGAGCCAGTGAATCACCAGCGGGAGCACCCATACTGTTTGTGAAGAAAAGCGATGGAACCCTTCGACTTTGTGTTGACTATCGAGGCCTAAATGCGATTACAATCAAAAATCGATATCCATTACCATTGTTGAAAGAAACCCTGGCTAAGTTGTCAAGAGCACAATACTATACTAAGTTGGATTTACGATGGGGATATAATCAAATCAGGATAGCGGAGGGAGATGAATGGAAAACAGCATTCCGGACTCGATATGGACATTTCGAATATACAGTAATGCCATTTGGATTAGCTAATGCCCCTGCCACATTTCAGCATTGGATCAATGATATTCTACGTCCCTACCTCGATCAATTCGTAACAGCATACTTAGACGATATCCTTATCTATTCCGAGACCCTATCAGAACATAAAGAACATATTCAGAAGGTTCTAAAGGTACTTGATGAAAATCATGTTCACCTTAAACCTGAAAAATGTGAATTTATGGTTCAGGAAACAAAATATCTTGGTTTAATCCTTACTCCGAATGGGAATAGAATGGATCCAAAGAAAGTTATCGATGTTTTGGAATGGACTACACCGACAAACCTTCGCGATGTTCAAGTATTCCTAGGATTTGCAAATTTCTACCGACGGTTTATTTTGGGATATTCGAAAATTGTTGCCCCGCTTACAGCCTTGACAAAGAAAAACGTTAAATTTGAATGGACGAATGAAAGAGAGAAAGCATTTCAGACTTTAAAAAGGATGTTTATAACGGCACCGATACTAGCTCATTTCAATCCAGATCAAAAAATTGTGATAGAAACTGATGCATCCGACTATGTTTCAGCAGGAATCCTATCTCAACGTGACAACGAAGGAATCCTACATCCAGTTGCTTTCTTTTCTAAAAAACACTCTCCCGCAGAATGCAACTACGAAATCTATGATAAAGAACTTTTAGCAATTATACGATGTTTTGAAGAATGGCGACATCATCTGGAGGGAGCTCAATTTCCAATTGAAGTTCTTAGCGACCATCGGAATCTTGAGTATTTTATGACAACAAAATTGTTAAATCGTCGACAAGCCCGTTGGTCCGAATTTCTTTCACGCTTCGATTTCGTTATACAATTTCGGCCAGGAAAACAAGGAACAAAACCAGATGCATTGACTAGGAGGTCAGGTGACCTACCTAAAGAGGGGGATGAACGGTTAACGCATCAGAGTCAAGTGATTCTGAAGCGAAAAAATTTGGATACCAAGCTAAGTTTGTTCGCGGGTTCTTTGTCAAATGAATCCGCTGAAGGAGCGTCCACTGTAGAGGAGTTATTTTCAAAAGCTTACCAAGTGGATAGTTTCATAAACAAAGTCCTCAATATGCTTCGGAATGGCATACGCCACTCAAACAAAATCTCACTTGCCGAATGTATGGAAGATAACAACGGTCGGCTGCTTTATCGAGGCATGCTATATGTACCAGACGACGATGACCTTCGACTAAGGCTTTTAAAAGAATATCATGACAAACCATCTGCAGGACATCCGGGTAGAGCGAAGACTCTGGAGCTCCTAAGTCGAGAATATTACTGGCCACAGATGCGGAAGTTTGTCGATCAGTATATTAGGAATTGCAATGTGTGCACCCGTAGCAAGGCATCACACAATGCACCTTATGGAGTACTTCGCCCCATGCCAATTCCCGATGGACCCTGGACAGATGTCTCGATGGACTTTGTGACTGATCTTCCTGAGAGTGATGGGTATAATGCGATTTTGGTCGTGGTGGATAGACTAACCAAAATGCGGCATCTGATACCAACGACAAAGGAGGCGGACTCACAGGAAGTAGCAAGGCTATATATTGATAACGTCTGGAAGTTACATGGATTACCCGACACTATGGTATCCGATCGAGGAACACAGTTCGTCGCGGAATTCTGGAGGTCCCTTTGTGATCGATTGGAAATCTCGCCAAAGTTCTCTACTGCATTCCACCCCCAAACAGATGGACAGACAGAAAGAATTAATGCCATAATGGAACAATACCTCCGAAGCTATGTTTCCTATCAACAAGATGACTGGGTCCGATGGCTACCGATGGCTGAATTTGCAACCAACAACCACGTTTCCGAAACAACAAAAGTTTCCCCCTTTTTTGCTAATTCGGGAAGGAATCCTAGGATAACATTTGGGCCTTTGGAACATGGTCGAACGACGGCGGAGGATCAAGCGAACCGTATTGCAAGGGAAATGAAGGATGTGGTGGACTTCCTAAGAGAAGAAATGTTCCGGGCGCAAAAGATACAAGAAGAATCAGCCAATAGGAATCGAACTCCAGCTCCTCGATATTATTTAGGAGATAAGGTTTTTCTATCGACCCGTCATATTCTAACGAAGCGACCCTCTAAGAAATTCGACTGGAAACGTATTGGACCTTATAACATTAAACGAATCGTTAATCCCTATGCTTACGAGTTGGAACTTCCCCGGTTGATGAAAATTCATCCAGTATTTCATGTTTCGTTATTGTCACCTGAAGCAAATGATCCTTTACCA